AGTTACACATGACTATGTTAAATTGTCTATGGAATTCATGATCAACAATGAGAAGGTTCATTTGACAGCATGTCAAGGACCTCAACATTCCTTCTTTGGTTGTTTTGCCATGTTATCATTTGAGGAAGTGGTAGATCAGATACCAGCAGATATTGTAGCATTACAACCATGGTTCATGCTGACATTTGGCAAGTCTTAGCCAAATACCATTTGTTTTTGCAGTCCCTCAAGTGCTACCTCCTTATCGAGGCATTGATCATTCTATTCACTTAATTGATGGTTCCAGACCTCTAAATGTGAAACCATACAGTTATACACACTTTCAAAAGGCTGAAATTGAACATCAAGTTAAGGAGTTGTTGGTAGCAGGTTACATTCAGCCTAGCATGAGTCCATATTCGTCTCCGGTGTTGCTTGTTAAGAAAAATGACGGCTCGTGGCAGATGTGTTTTCCCATTCCTACCATAGATGAGCTGTTAGACGAGCTGTGCCACGCTGTGGTATTCTCAAAGTTGGATCTCCGTGCGGGATATAATCAAATATGCGTCCATGCTGCTGATATTTTTAAAACGGCATTTCGAACCCACGATGGTCACTATGAGTTTGTGGTGATGCCATTTGGGTTAACCAATGCCCCTTCCATTTTTCAAGTGGCAATGAACAATATCTTTCGTCCCTTTCTCAGTAAATTCATTATTTTTTTAATGATATTCTTGTGTTTAGCAGATCTGTAGCTGACCATGTTAAACAGCTGGAGACTACTTTATTATGCTTACAATAACATCACTTCTATCTCAAGCTCAGTAAATGCTCATTTGCTGCCTCTGAAATAGACTACTTGGGTCACATCGTGTCTGCCTCTAGGGTGAAAGCAGATCCTAAGAAAATAGCAACAATGGTGGATTGGCCCCAACCTTCATCTATAAAGGCTTTGCGTGCCTTTTTAGGTCTCGCGGGGTATTACCATAGATTTGTTTGAGGCTATGTAGCTATAGCAACTCCATTAATAGATCTGCTGAGTTCTGATAAACTAACATGGTCGGACCAAGCACAAATGGCTTTTTTAGCATTGAAGGAAGCCATGTTCTCCACTCTAATTCTTGCATTACCCGAATTTTCTTTACCGCTTGTGGTGGAATCTGATGCTTCATCATCGGGTGTTGGAACAATTTTACTTCAACAGGGCAAGCCTATTTCATTTTTCAATCGAAAGTTAGGTCCTAATTGGCGTCTGCAAGTACTTATGTTAGGGAGCTTTATGCCATTATTGAAGCTGTGAAACGGTGGCGGCCATACTTATTGGGATCCCCCTTCGTGACCCGTACTGATCACCAAAGTCTCAAGGAAATATTATTTCAAATAATTCAGACACCCGATTAGCAGAAATATATTTCCAAACTCATGGGGTATTCATTTATAGTGGAATATAAACCTGGTTCTTCCAACGTGGTTGCGGATGGTTTATCGCATCACCATGAGGCTCCGTTGGTGGCTTCTTGTTATATTGCTCTGTTTGAACCCTTTTTTTGCTATGTTGGAGAAAATACGGGCTGAGAATAAGCAGGACCTAGAATTTCTTGCAATCCATCCGCGGCTTTCTCAGGGTCATCAAGTTCCCTCCTTAATCTCTTGTAAGGATGGCATTTTGTTTCACGTTAAACGTTTTTTTGCTGAGCCCAAATTTGTCTTTAAAGGCTACACTATTCCATGAGCCCCATTGTTCTTTAATTGGGGGCCATGCTGGTTATCTACGCACTATGTTACGTCTATCTGTGACTTTCTTTTGACCCAAAATGAAATCTGATGTTCGTAACTTTGTTAGTCAGTGTGTCACTTGTCAATCAATTAAACCAATGAACACTGCTCCAGCGGGGTTATTACATCCTCTTCCAGTACCAGAAGGAGCTTTTGAGGACTTAACTCTTGACTTCATTGTGGGTCTTCCTTTATCTTGCGAATTTTCTGTCATTTTGGTCGTGGTTGATAGGCTTACGAAATATGCATATTTTGGTGCTTTGCCAGCTAAGTTCACTGCTGTAATGGCTGCACAATTGTTTGCTAATATGGTGATTAAGCTCCATGGTTTTCCCAGGTCTCTTGTATCAAACCGAGATAGCATTTTCTCAGTCATTTTTGGCAACAACTGCTTGTGTTAAGTGGCACCAAGTTGAAGATGAGTTCGGCATACCATCCCCAGACGGATGGGCAAAGCGAGGTCACTAATTACTACCTTGAGCAGTACCTTAGAGCATATCGTCATGATAAAAATAGCATACGGGTTCAGCTTTTATCATGAGCTGAACTTCATTACAACACGTTTGTTGATTCCTCCATTCGTATGACACCATTCCAAGCTCTATATGGTAAACTGCCACCATCGTTGCCTTATTATCCGCGAGGATTGGCTACTGTAGAAGCATTGGATGCAACGTTGATTGAGAGTAATGAGTTGATAAGTACCCTCAAATGTAGTTTTCTTCGTGCTCAACATCGTATGAAGTTGTTCACAGATAAACATAGGGTGGATCATTCTTTTCAGATGGGTGATATGGTGTTACTTAAACTCCAGCCTCATCGTCAAGTGTGTATTGTCCGTCGTTCCAATCATAAGCTTTCCAAACGTTTTTTTGGGCCATTTCCAGTAGCTGAAGTTCTTAGCCCTGTTGCGTATCGCTTGGAGTTACTTGTGGTTTATATCATTCACCTTACTTTCCATGTGTCAGTGTTAAAAAAAAAAATTTGGGTCAAAAACACCAATTCCAGCTGAGCTTCCACTGGCTAGTCTGGGTAACCGACCTGTGCAGCAACCATTGGCAGTCTTAGCCTCTCGTTGGGTTGGTCAACGACGACGTTATTCAATGGTCGAATGCGATGCCAGAAGACGCTACTTGGGAATTTGAATGTAATTTCAGTCACGCTTACCCATCTTTTGACCTTGGGGACAAGGTCCCTATCAATTGGGGAGGGGGGGTAATGATGCAGTATCCAATTCCGAAAAGCTAGCTAAAAAGTGGGAGTGCCCAAGGCCTTATAAACTCCACATTAGTTGTATAGGCAACCAATGTAGGACTTGTAACACATTGCGACCCCCTTTAAGGGCTGACGTCAACGACAGCTTTCACTCTGTCGACACTGACCGGACAACAGCCCTTTCCTCCCTTTGGGGCGGTTTCACTCACCTATCAGTATTCAGTATCCAAAGACACCTTAATCCAGCCTATAGGTAGCCAACTCTCAACAAAAGCACAAATTGTTACGAACCTTGAGATCACTACTCCAAAAGCTAGCTCAAATGGTAAGAGTGTTCAAGGCCTTATAAACCCCACATTAATTGTATAGGGAGCCAATGTGGGACTTGTAACATTTATATACCTCTGCAATGATATTGCTAAAGAAATTTAGTGATCAGTTATACCTACAATTCTAGTATGAGACGACTAATGATTATGAATTTAAAATATGATTTTGTGGTCAAAGTTAATTTAGGTTAGAATTTACATATGCATTTAACTAAATTTTTGTAATCTGTGGACAAAAATATATTTATAGAGTTATAATATGTATTTTATACAAGCTCCCTCCAGCCCTTCAGACCTCCAAAATAAAATTAACTTTATATGTCATATCCAAGCAGGTGAGTGCAAGTGTTTCCTCTGAATCCGAAAATATGACTGAAGTAATTTTTAATCCATTTTCAAGTTTGAACATAAAGACTGTCATAATTTTATAACTAATACTGAAATTTTCTCTTTATACTCGAATATCCTTTTAGTCATAAAGAACATGTATTAGTACTTTGAATGTTTAGTTCAAGGCACATACGCTTTATTTATCATAAGTCAACATTAAGCAATTACCATAAGTTATTGATGTAAAATGCAGATTTTTTTAATCTAAATAAACAAAAGTAGTTATGAGGGAACCTGCCGGCTTCGGACAAGGGTATGAATTAAGGGTTTTATTATTCTCCTTCAACATAAGATAAGTATCTTATGTTGTAGAGATAAAATAGGTGGGTCCCACCATTACAAGAAAAAAGAAAAAAAAGAAAAAAGTGAGGTGCGAAAATCGAAGTGAGAGAATAGGAAAGAAGTAATCTTATGTAAAAGGAGAGTAATATTTCCCATGAATTAATTAGTGTAAAACCTAATACAGTGGAAAGTTGATAGCATGCTAAATTTAGGCATAAGTACATCTTCTATGGTATTTCTAACAATTTTTTATTTTATTTTAAATATGATGGACATGGCTACATCTAACCATTTTCATGAAAAGTTTTTACAAGATATCGTGTGTTCCCGGCCCAAAGTATTTGAATACTTAGCAATATTGTTTTACTTCCGAATAATAAACATTTTGTTGTTGCGATTAATATATATCTTTTGGGGTACATGTTCTTGTGATTAATATAATTATTAAATACTCAACAAGGAATATGTAGTAGTAGTTGTAGTCGTAGTATATACATATTGCTTTAGTAGTTGACACTTTACACGCAATTGAAAAGCACTTAATGTTTTGTTTTTTGCATATAGTCAAAATTGACAGCTAGTTGTGCATAGTTTAGCTCATATGCAAAGTGAGTTATCCATTTTATCGATGAGGTTGTTAGGCAATAGGATCTTTCGTAGGGAACTTATTCTGAAGTTGGTCTCTTCTTGCACGTTCATACTTAAATTATTTCTATACTTTCACATTGATCACGAGAGGAATACGCTTCTTACACTTGCTGCTTCTCTATATATTAACCAATTAGCTAGACACATTCAAACACATAGTACTCAATCTCCTTTTGTCCAAGAAAAACTCAACAATGGGGATTCAATCTTCTTCTAACAAGAAAGAAACTCTTCCCATTGAGACCACATTTAAGCTTCCCAATAACATACCAGTTTGGCCTCAAGGTGCACATTTTCTTCCTTCCCTTCTTCATATTATAGTGTTATTATATATTACTTCTACTAATACGTTTGTTTCTTAATGGTTTATGAATTACAACTTTATATGTAGGTGGTGGATTTGCTAGTGGAATTATTGATCTAGGGGGGCTAAAAGTGTCTCAAGTTTCAACATTCAACAAAGTTTGGACAACCTTAGAAGGTGGACCAGATAATGCAGGGGCTACATTCTTTGAGCCAGCAGGAATACCTGAGGGGTTCTTCACATTAGGCTATTACAGCCAACCAAACAACAAACCTCTTTTTGGATATGTTCTTGTGGCAAAAGATGATTCTTCAGCTGATAATGGAGCTTTAAAGGAACCAGTTGATTACACACTGGTATGGAGCAGCAGGTCCCAAAAAATCAAGCAAGATAAGGATGGTTATATTTGGTTACCAACAGCACCTAATGGCTACAAGGCTTTGGGACATGTTGTCACCACCACTCCTGATAAGCCTTCCCTTGACAGAATCAGGTGTTTGAGGTTAGACCTCACAGATCAATGTGAGACATACTCATGGATTTGGGGACCAGGCAAGAGCAATGATGAAAAAGGTTTCAATGTTCATGATGTAAGACCAAGCAACAGAGGAACTCAAGCACCTGGTGTTCAAGTAGGAACTTTTTTTGCCCAAGATGGTGGCACTACTAGCACTATCCCAATTGCCTGTTTGAAAAACACCAACATGAACTTCTCCTCCATGCCTAATCTACCCCAAATTCTGGCATTAATCCTAGCTTACTCTCCAATCATGTACTTGCATCCTGATGAAAAGTACCAATCTGCTTCTACTAAGTGGTTTTTCACCAATGGGGCATTGATTTATGAGAAAGGAGAAGAGTCCAGACCACTGCCAATAGACTCAACAGGTTCTAACCTTCCTCAGGGTGGCACCAATGATGGTGCCTATTGGTTGGACCTGCCTGCTGATAAAGCCAACAAAGAAAGGGTCCAAAAAGGAGATTTCAAGAGTTCCCAAGTTTACATTCATGTAAAACCCATGTTTGGTGGAACATTCACTGATCTTGCCATGTGGGTTTTCTACCCTTTCAATGGGCCTGCAACAGCAAAAGTAGGACTCATAAATGTTCCACTTGGGAAAATAGGAGAACATGTTGGGGACTGGGAGCATGTGACATTAAGGGTAAGCAATTTCAATGGGGAGTTAAGAAAGGTATATTTCTCACAACACAGTAAAGGTCAATGGGTGGATTCTTCTGAACTTGAGTTCCAAATTGGTAACAAACCAGTGGCTTATTCTTCCTTAAATGGCCATGCTTTTTACTCAAAAGCTGGACTTGTTATGCAAGGTCTTAGTGATATTGGAATAAGGAATGACACTGCTAAGAGTAATATGGTGATAGATATGGGGTTGAGTTTTGAAATTGTTTCTGGGGAATATTTGGGATCAGCAATTACAGAACCACCATGGTTGAATTATGGCAGGCAATGGGGTCCAAAAATTGACTATAACATTAAAGAAGAGTTTAACACCGTGGAAAAGGTGTTCCCTGCTTTGAAAATTCTTGAAGATAAATTACCAGATGAGTTATTGGGTGAGGAAGGACCCACAGGGCCAAAGATCAAGAAAAATTGGAGTGGTGATGAACTTTGAAAGATTTGGTGGCATTATTCAGACCAAGCAATTAAAAACGAAGACTTTGGCTTGTTTGTTGTGTGTATTTATAATGTTTGTCTTGAATATCTACATTATTTTGAGGTTACAGAAACAAGTCCTTCTTAGTAGGAACTGACAAAGTTGTGTTTTGTTGTATTTGCAAGCTAGCTTGTTCAGTTGTTCTCACAACATTAGTGCGATTATTCTCTTCAAAAATAATGTACAAAGGAAAAAAAAAAAAAATATTATTTTCGTGTCCATTTATGTTTTTTATACATATTTTCGTGTCCACTTAATATATACACAACTATGTGCTATTTATTATATCAATTAACAATAATTGAATAATTTTACAATAAATAAAGGGTCAGTGAATATCCTATAAAAGGACACAGGTTCAGATTTATACAAAATTCTATCAATAAAATTTTGTGTAGGTCATTGAAAGAATACAAATTTGTGTCCTTTAAAAAGATATTTCTTTTTCACATAAATAAAATAGGATTTAATATTTCTCTCAGAGATAGCTTGCAACTTTAAAATAACACCATTTTGTGGTTTATAAAAAAAGCCAAGTATATATTAAAAAAATAAAATTTTAAAAATGTCTTGCATTGTTTTAAAATTTCAAAATAATATTGTTTTAACATTATATGATATATCTTTATCTCTTATAATACGAGAAATATATTTTTCAATAAAAATATTTATATAACCAAAAATTTATTATCTATTATCAAATCAATGTGTATAATTTTTGTGCATCAAATTTATTTGATATTTTCTCTGAAAAGTTTGTGCTATTAGAAAATTTTGAGGAAAAAAGAAAAAAGAAAAAATGATGTATGGGTGTAAAGAGGAGGCTGAAGATATTTATTCTGAATTTGAATGGCCATGGGAGAAACATGCACGCCATCTCATTGGGTTGGTGACCTACATAATTGGATGGTGTAGCTGTTCCATGTGCCTTTCTAAATATGAAAAATGCACCGACGATACCACGAAGGAATAAAAGTCAATCGGGGTCCAACAACAGGAACAATGGTGATTTTGTCGCTTGAAAAAAAAATTATTAAACTGTCACGTCAATAGTAAATTTTATCAAAATACCACGCGGTATATTTCGCTACACTGTATAACGAATTATGCTTGAATTCTGCCTGTTTGACACGTGTCATTTTTTACTGACTGTGCAGCTTGACATGGCATATTTCACTACACTATGGAGTGAATTACTTGCAAACATATTTCGCTACACAGTGTAGCGAAATATGCCGCGTGACATTTTGACAAAATTTACTGTTGACGTGGCATTCTGGTAAATTTTTTTGTCAGGTGTGGCAAGATGATCACTTTTCCCCCAACATGCTTGGTGCATCTCCTCTTATGAGTTGATAAAATTAGAGTTTCAATTCTTAAAAACAAAAATAGATGAAATTAGTGATAATTTGATAATAAAAATTACATGAGTGTGTGTTTGGTAATTAGAAAATAAAAATGATATATAATAATATTTATATTTAAAGTTTAAATTTTCATTTTAATAAACTTTTACCTATTTTAAAAATATTTGAAAGGTTCGAGTTTTTATTATAGTTGAATTAAATTTAAGTAGGCTTTGATAGTGCTATTGAGATTTTAGGCTTTGATAGTGCTATTGAGATTTTTTAATTTTAGTAACTGATGTGCTATTGAGAAATCACTTAAAATAATGTTTTGTCTACTTAAGTTGCACATATTATAATATAAATTTAATTTGAATGTATTGTTAGTATAAAATATTTTACACTGTAATTTAATAATATTTTACCACACCATTTATATAGTATAATTTTCTTTATAGTAACAATGTATCAAAATGCAATTTTTATAATATAGAAAAACTCACATGTTAAATTTGTACAAAAATATTGTTGAAGAGACTGATATAGTTCCAAGGTTTGAACGTAACTTTTAAATTCTAGTTTTACACTAAATACTCAAACAAAACTCTAGGTTTATATATCTCTGCAATGGCGGACCTGTACATACGTAAGTGTGTGCAAGCGCACATATAAATTTTTTGAAAAAAAATATATTTTGAATCATCAACAAAAATTATGACACCTAATTTAATCCCTTAAAAAAAATCATCTCGTGATCTCTCTAAATTCTAAAATTGACACATGTTAGTTCTTTTGATGGACTAATGTGAATTTTTTTGAACAAGAAAAGAATATTCTTACACCGGTGAATCAATTAATATAAAGAAAGAAAACGACGTAGTTTTGGGATGGCCGGAGATAAACTTATCTCAAGTTGCCGGAGAAATATTTTTCCCATATATATATATATATATATATATGGCCTATCATTTCTTAAGCTGCTTAAGATAATTTTATCTCCAACTACAAAATCATAACCGTATAAAGATAGATATTAGTGATAAAGGAAGAGAGAGAAAAAGAGAATCATAACAATTCAAAAGTGAATCAATTATATAAGGAACTAAATAAACAAAATGACATAATTTTGGGATAGACAAAGATAAATATATCACAAGCTGCTTGATAAATATATATATGTATATGACTTTAACACACAAAGATGAGTAAAAGCATTAACTATAGGGAATCATAACCAGTTGGACGTCTAGTAGCCGAATATATATATATATATATATATATATATATATATATATATATATATATATATATATAGGGTTTAGCGGATGTAAAGTGACTGCACCTAATTAAGGATTGGTGCAGTCATATAAAACTACGTCGTTTTATAATGTAAAAACATTAAATATGGGGAATAATAACATACAAAGTGGAAATAAATATAAAACATTAAATATGGGGAATCATAACCATACAAAGTTGGAAATCAATATAATATTTTTATTTTCTACAATTAATTTTAAATGCGAACTTCCTTTATCCCACCCAAAATGATGTAGTTTTTAGGTGACTACACTAATGCTTATATACAGTCACATTACAAATCATTTTGCTATATATATATATATATATATATATATATGGGGAGGGATCTTTTGACTCTAGAGTAAGACTTACAACTCTTACTCCTCATCTCAACCGTTGATTTCCGTCCATCTAACGGTTATCTATAACAATTAATTATTTATTTATTTCAAATAAATAATAACCGTTAGATGGACGGAAATCAACGGTTGAGATGAGGAGTAAGAATTGTAAGTCTTAATCTAGAGTCAAAAGATCTCTCCCCTATATATATATATATATATATATATATATATATATATATATATATATACGAGAACAAAATTTCTGCAGTTAATGCAGAAAAGTTATCTGCATTTATTCCCAAAACGAAGTCGTTTTGGTATTGAAATCTTAAAAAATTATAAATATAAAGACTATTATAACCCTGAAATAAATTAAAATTACAAAAACACCACGATTTCTACATCAAAACAACGTCGTATTGGGCTTACTGTAGATAACTTATCTGCAGTAACTGCAGAAAAAGCGAACCCTGATATATATATATATATATATATATATATATATATATATATATATATATCATATTTTTTTGCAGTAAATGCACATAAGTTATCTGCATTGAGCGTTGTTTTGGGAAGAAAATCAAGGTATTTTTATAATTTTAATTTATTTAAATGTTATAATAGTCTTTATGATTATAATTTTTTTATCTTTCAACCCCAAAACGACGTCGTTTTGTGAGTGAATACAAATATCTTATCTACAGTCACTGTAGAAATATATACAACAACACACAAATTCCTTTTTTCTATTTTCTCGTTCCTTCTCAATCTTTCATCTTCTGATCTCATACATGGCATCAGAGTTCTACCCGATTCTTGGAAACTACACGCTTTTGCATTACCTTCACTCCGTATTTTTTTTAATCTTGTTTTCTTGAAGCTTGATGATGGAAAATTTCTTCCTTTGAAGTAGAAAGCCATGGACACTGTAAAGAAACAAAAGGAATATTGGAATAAATTCGTGTGTGTAATAGCAAAGTGGAGGTTATATTATATATATAACTATTCAGTATATACAACCTGAAATACATGATGTGAGAGCTACTACTATATATACAACATTTTCCCTCAACCTGAAGCGTATAAATCATAAGTACCAAGCTTGTTACATATATACTCTACTCGAGGACCCCTCGAAGACTTCTTAAATGCATCTATTAATTGATCATTAGAGGGTACAAAGCTAGTCTTAAGTTCACCAGCAAGGACCTTCTCTCAAACAAAGTGACAATCTATCTCGATATGCTTGGTTCTTTTATGAAACACTGGATTGGAAGAAATATTTAGTGTTCTTGGTTATTGTAACACCCCGTGTATACCCGATTTGTTAACATGTCATCGTATTAAACAACGCTTAATTAAAAATGCGGAATATCTTTTTCTTTTCAATTATGACGTCATTATCATTACCCAAGTTGATTATTAAATTCTATTTCAAAAACATCGCATGTATGTAAATTGCAATCACAACTAGATACACTGAATAACCTCATAAATATATAAGTGAGAATCTAAGTCACGGAACTACAACATGTAGACTGGACAATATCCTGATACATTAATACAACTCGAAATAAAAGCATAAAGTCAAGTCAATATGGCATGGACAATCACCATGCTCACCAAATCAAACAACATAACCAACAGAGTCTCATCTCAATAATCCATAACATGAAACTAATAACAGAACAACAACAACAAACATAATTCAGCATCCAAACATAATCAGCATAAGCAGAAATATCGGCTAAGCTCCGGCCTCTGCCACTAGAGGTCTCAATCCCAGGATTACCTGAACCTAAAATAAGCGCCCCAAACGTGGGGTGAGATCACTAAACAGAAATCTCAGTAAGACAAGGGGTCCTCAAGGATTTCTCCACCCCAAGCTCACTTACATGTGCAAAATAAGTTCTAAAACAGTACAATATAAGTTCCAAAACCAATGCAGTGCAGCAAATAATCATGCCATGTGTGTTATAACTATTCTACTGGCTAGAGAAATGCAGGACGTACGTCTCCAACCCACAGTTAGTACAAGGAACACCGCTTGCACCTCACCCACAGCCTCACCATCTTATATGTCCCCACATACTCAGGCTTACCGTATAGGTGGAACACCACATGCATATCATAAAGGCACTCACACATAACAGCTCAAAAGTATTTCAACAAATCAATACATGAAAACAACATCATGCATATAAACCATCCCCCCATGGGACATGGTGGAACCAAACAATGGCTAAACCGAGGACACAAAAGCTTACCTTGCAAGCTAACTATCCAAGCCAAGAGTCCAACCAAGAGCCCACACTAGCTCAAAGCCCAACAAGCAACTCAACCACAATCTGTTTATGCAGTAATTAATCACTAATAACCAGTATCAGTTTCTGGCACCAGTTCTCATTATTTGGACTTGAAACTCGTTTTACAAGTCCTATATATTATTCTAGTAATTATCATGCACTTATTATAATTTTCCGGGATACTTTTTCGGTACGCATTTATACCGACTAGCAGAACCGGTATTTGCACTTTTCTTCCGAAAAGCGACTTTCAGCATTCTGAATCACTTACTATAATTATTAAAGCCTCTTAATAATTATTAGGGTCAATTATGAAATTATTTTCTAATTTTGAATAATTAATTAATTTCCTTAATTAACGGTGCGGGTTCTTACAGTGCACAACCTCCTATTGCACTCTATCTATATATGGTTCCCTATATTTCAGTTGTTTGAACATTCACAAGGTTGTCGCCATACAGCCTTGACACTTGTGCCCAAAGCACACATCCTATATACTGAACAGGTGACTGATACACACCCCTTATCAGCATATATACTCATCAGACTTTGTCATGAGGTATTGGATTTATTGCCAGTCATCTTTACCATAAGTTCCGTAGATACAATTACTAGCTCCCCAGCTAGACATTGATGTTCATCTTTGAACATCTTTAAAAGAAAAAAGAAATTGGTGGACTTAAATATATATATATATTTTTTTTACCGACTTTCCAAAGTTTATTCTATGTTTATTTAGATAATCAAATTCTAGCTAATTGATTGGGTTTCAAATTTATGAGCATGGGCTAAAATCAATTGGGCTTTTCTTAACCCATTTTAGTAAAATAGTACTGTGTGAACATAGGCCCACTGTGAAAACGTGTTCTATTATATATACATCTTATCCAACACTGTAGCACTGTACATACTGTGTATACATTTAGGCCTGATGGGCATGAGATTTAGGGTGAAGGGTTGAATTGTGGGGACGAGAACATCAAGTTCTTCCATGCCACCACTGTCCCTAATAAAACGATATGTGGATTGAGAATCAACACCATATCGAGGAAAAAAATTTCAATGATACTACCCCCATGTACTGCTTCCATTGAGAAATTGATACTTATATAAAAAATTCTTTTTACTCTCTAATTTCTCTTTTTTGATTAGTTGTCATATTTTTATTAGTTTGAATTAATCACTTAAAATTTGATGCTCCGACAGCACCAAAATTCTCCTCCATATTGAGAGTTATGTTTAATAATACTTTCAGTGTCTCTGAATATCAAGCATGTTACTTTTTTTTTTTTTTTTTTTTTTTTTTGTAAATAATCAAGCATGTTACTTAATTCACGAGTCCTGGTCACATATTATTAATGAATAATTCATTAACGTCGAATGAGGTTATACAGGCAGAGTGTAGCACAGGCAACTTTGATACCAGCATAAAAAAAAACTCAAGATCTTTGATCATTCAAAATGTTTATATTATTGATGAGATATAACAATTTCATCTATAAAACCATATAAAAAAGATAATGGGCTTATTTGATTGTGTTTTATGGTTTCTTAATGTTTTTAAAACTGTTTTGTAGAATAGTGATGGAACAAGTGTTTTTGGTTTTTTTTTTTTGAAAGTTAAAAGTAAAAATATACAAAACAAAAATATAACTTAAACATTTTCTTTAAATTTGATTATAAAAATTAAAAGACAGTTATCAAACAAACCCTATGTTACCAGACTAAAAGCATTTCATAAATAAAGAAATATATATATATATATATATATATATATATATATATATATATATATATATATATATGGGGTAAATATTTCTACAGCCATTTAAGATAAAGTTATCTACAACTATCATTTTTTAACTAAGTCTGACCGGTCATATATTAAAATTGTATTTTATCTCCGCTATGTCAGCCGACAATGTCTTAGGAGAGAGAAAAAAAGAACAACTTTATTGTTATAACTATGTATGACCGGTCAGATTTAGTTAAAAAAGAGTAGTTGTAAATAAATTTATCCAAAGTGATTGTAAAAATATTTTTTCATATATATATATATATATATATATAAGATAGGATCTTTTGACATTGATGTCCAAATTTGAAAATCAAATTCTAACCATTGATTTTCGTCAATCAACGACTAGCATTTATTGAAAATTAATAATTAATAAATTTGATTTCTAATAAATAATAACTGTTGATTGGTGAAAATTAATGGCTAAAATTTGATACCAGTATCAAAGCTGTTAAAGGATCCTGTTCCTATATATATATATATATATATATATATATATGAACAGAGACTATAGGAATGCCATCAGGATCAACTTTAATGGCATTAAGAACAGAATTTTTTTCATCTTCAGAAAGATAATTATCCCACCAACCTTTGAGTTGGCCAGAGAAGCCAGAGACAATAATATTGACTATAATTGCTTCAGAACAATTATGAGAAGTTTGATAGGCAGTTGCAACCATAGTCATATGGTGCATTATATTGAGTATGTTATACTCTGATTGACCATCTATGTTCCATTCATAGACGTTGTTACCATTAAAACTTTTGAAACTTGTATTCTTTTCTTCAAGTAGAAGATCAGGAGCAGTTGCTTTTTGGTAATAAAGTTTGGAAGGGTTTCTCCAATTATTAATACCAGTTATAGGATTAATTTTAATTTCAGATTTGTTATCTGACTCAGGAGATTCATCATAATGAACCAGAGTATTGATAGTTTTTGACCGAGTGTTATGTTTATGAGACTGTTGAGTCTCTTGATCAGAATGTTGTGGGGTATCAGGAATGGTTAATGTACTTAACTTCTCATCAATTTTTTTAAGAAATTCATCCTGAGACTGAGATTGAGCAGGTTTTAACTTTGCAAACTCTTTTCTAAGTTGATCATTCATTTTGAAAGGTTTGAACAAAGGTTTTTCTGTTGTAGTTGGGTTTCTTACGAAAATTCCTAAAAGTTTTAACCTGTTTTTGTTCCTGTTTTTTATGTTTTTTAGGTTTTGTAGTACAAGGCAGACCAAATTGTTCACAAAATGATGGTGCTGTTGAAATAATCTTCGATAGAAGAAACTCTTTCAGTTCTGCAAGTTCTTCCAGGTCTGTTCAAACTCAAGATTTTCGTTCTGAAGATTTTCAATCTGCTCTTTCAAGGAGATCTTTCTCTACAATCTCTGAACCTAGTAGGTTCAATCTCCATCTCCAAGGTTTGGACACTTCTTCTTCTATTCCTAAACCTTCATATACCCAAAAAGAAGAAGAAAATGAACAGAATATCATCCAATCCCCAAAATCTATTCAATCTCCAACCTATTCTTCTATGCATAATTCTTATGATGTTATATAAGTTCATTATAGATAAGGAAACCCTTAGGAAAGACTTTAATTCTGAGGAACGGTCTCCTCAAAAAGAATGGTTCTTCCAAAATTATAAGGGAATTAAAAGACAACTAATTCAAGAAGAGTTTTATAACTTTCTTGACAAGGTAGAGTTAAATAATCCTTTCATTAGCTGAGTTTAGAGAGATAGTCTAGTGAGAGAGACTGCGAGGTACTTCTGAGTTTTCTCTTCTTCTCTGTTTTCTCTTTAATCTTTCAATCTGTAACTGTAATCTCAATCTTTATGTTTTGAATAAAAGTGTTATTTCATATCTGCTTATGTAATGAACTCTTCTCTTCTCCATCCTTCTTTATTTCAAGACTCCTCAATCTGCTAATGTCATCACTGATTGGCACCTGAAAGAAGGAGAGATTATCAAGTCTGAATTTCCCCCCACAACTTCTTTCTATCTCCCAAAAGTTTGTGATAACAAAAGTAGGTCTGTTCTTGCTTCACCTTTTAAATTAAAAGATGAAAATGAACAAGTCTCTCCAATGGATTTTAAAAATCTTATTGAGCAATCTAATTACACCAACAAATATCTTCAAGTTTTGGGTGAAAAACTTATCAAAACTTGAACCTTCATCCTCTGCATCTTCTTCTAAAAACTTAGAAAAACCTTTGTTCAAACCTTTCAAAATGAATGATCAACTTAGAAAAGAGTTTGCAAAGTTAAAACCTGCTCAATCTCAGTCTCAGGATGAATTTCTTAAAAAAATTGATGAGAAGTTAAGTACATTAACCATTCCTGATACCCCACAACATTCTGATCAAGAGACTCAACAGTCTCATAAACATAACACTCGGTCAAAAACTATCAATACTCTGGTTCATTATGATGAATCTCCTGAGTCAGATAACAAATCTGAAATTAAAATTAATCCTATAACTGGTATTAATAATTGGAGAAACCCTTCCAAACTTTATTACCAAAAAGCAACTGCTCCTGATCTTCTACTTGAAGAAAAGAATACAAGTTTCAAAAGTTTTAATGGTAACAACGTCTATGAATGGAACATAGATGGTCAATCAGAGTATAACATACTCAACATAATGCACCATATGACTATGGTTGCAACTGCCTATCAAACTTCTCATAATTGTTCTGAAGCAATTATAGTCAATATTATTGTCTCTGGCTTCTCTGGCCAACTCAAAGGTTGGTGGGATAATTATCTTTCTGAAGATGAAAAAAAATTCTGTTCTTAATGCCATTAAAGTTGATCCTGATGGCATTCCTATAGTCTCTGATGGAAAAACTATTCCAGATGCTGTTAATCAATTAATCTTCACCATTATCCAACATTTCATTGGTGATCCATCCTTATGGAAAGATCGTTCTGCTGAACTCCTATCCAATCTTAAATGTAGAACCTTAGGTGACTTTCGCTGGTATAAAGATACCTTCCTAACTAGGGTTTACACTCGAGATGATAGTCAACAACCTTTCTGGAAAGAAAAATTCTTAGCTGGTCTTCCAAAATCTTTAGGAGACAAAGTTAGGGATAAAATCCGTCATCAATCTCTAACTGGAGATATCCCTTATGAGCAATTAAGTTATGGACAATTAGTTGCTTATATCCAAAAGGTAGCTTTAAAAATCTGTCAAGATGATAAAATCCAACGTCAACTTGCAAAAGAAAAAACTCAAAATCGTAAAGATCTAGGATCATTTTGTGAACAATTTGGTCTGCCTTGTACTACAAAACCTAAAAAACATAAAAAACAGGAACAAAAACAGGTTAAAACTTTTAGGAATTTTCGTAAGAAACCCAACTACAACAAAAGGTTTAAAAATGAAAATCCTAAGCCAAATACTGAAACAAATAAATCACAAAATACATCCAAACCAATTAAGCCAACTATTTGCTACAGCTGTGGTAAACCTGGACATATTAGTAAATATTGTAGGCTTAAGAAAAAACTAAATAACCTAAACCTTGATCCTTCTATTGAAGAACAAATCAATAATCTTCTAATCCAGTCCTCGGATGAAGAATCTGGAAAAGAATCCTCAGAAGATTTAAACCAAATTCATGAAGATGATCTATCTTCTAGTGAGGACTCACAATCCTCGCAAGAAATTAATGTCTTGACTAAAGAACAAGATCTTTTGTTCGAGGTCATAGATTCAATCAGTGATCCCCATGAAAAGAAAGCTTACTTAGCAAAATTAAAATCATCCTTGGAAACCAGTTCTTCTAAATCTAAAGAGTTGTTGGTTCCTAATAAGTTTAATCTTAAAGATACCCTTAAAAAACTTGAAAAGAGTATTACTGTCAAACCTATAACTGTCCAAGATCTTCAGTATGAGATCAATATTCTCAAAACTGAAGTTAAACAAATCAAAGAACAACAACAAACTCATCAGAACATCCTTCTTCAATTACAAAATGAAGAATCAACGGGAACGAGTATGGAAAATACTCTGTCTAAACCAGATGAAGATAAGAATCTTAAAGACGAAGAATTTTTAGGATTAATTAATCAATTAACAATTCAAAAATTCTATATCCCAATCAAACTCAATATAGGTAATTTTGACCTTGAAATTGAAGCTCTGTTTGACACAGGGGCAGATTCAAACTGCATTCAAGAAGGTCTAATTCCTACTAAATATTTTGAAAAGACTTCTGAACGGCTTAGTACTGCTAGTGGTTCAAAACTTCAGGTTAATTATAAACTTCCGAAAGCAATCATTGAAAGTGATAATTTAAAAGTTGAAACACCGTTTCTCCTTGTTAAAAACCTAAAAAATGGAGTTATTCTTGGAACTCCGTTCATCAAATCTCTTTTTCCTCTAACTATCACAGATGAGGGTATAATTACTTATCATTTGGACAAACCAATTGTTTTTAAATTTCTTAAGAAACCCATCATAAGAGATTTGAATTTTATCCATTACAAACAAAAACAAATCAATTTCCTTAAAGAAGAAATTTCTTTTAAGAATATTGAAAATCAGTTAAAGCAGCCTGAAGTTCAACAAAAGATCAAAGTTTTGCTTGAACAAATCCAAAATACAATCTGTTCTGATCTTCCGAATGCTTTTTGGCAAAGGAAAAAACATATCGTAGATCTTCCCTATGAAAAGGATTTTAATGAAAGGCAAATCCCAACCAAAGCTCGTCCTATTCAAATGAGTGGTGAACTTCTTGTCTTTTGTCAAAAAGAAATTGCTGATCTCATTGCTAAAGGTCTCATCAGGAAAAGCAAGAGTCCTTGGTCTTGTTCTGCCTTCTATGTCAATAAGCAATCTGAAATTGAGCGTGGAACTCCACGGTTAGTTACCAATTACAAACCTCTTAATCAAGCTCTTCAATGGATTCGGTATCCGATTCCAAATAAGAAAGATCTTCTCAATCGTTTGTATTCGGCAAAAATCTTTTCTAAATTTGACATGAAATCTGGGTTTTGGCAAATCCAGCTCAATGACAATGAATGTTACAAGACAGCTTTTACTGTTCCATTTGGTCAATACGAATGGAAGGTAATGCCTTTTGGACTGAAGAATGCTCCCTCTGAATTTCAGAGAATCATGAATGATATCTTCAATCCATACTCAACTTTCACTATTGTCTACATTGATGATGTTCTTGTCTTTTCTCAATCTATTGATCAACATTTTAAACATCTTCATATTTTTGTAGATGTAATTAAGAAAAGTGGTTTAGCTCTTTCTAAATCAAAGATCAATCTATTTCAAACAAAAATCAGGTTCCTCGGTCATACTATTTATCAAGGGACTATTACTCCAATTTGTAGAGCTATTGAATTTGCTGACAAATTTCCCAATCAAATTATTGATAAAACTCAATTACAAAGATTTCTTGGTTGTTTAAATTATGTAGCTGACTTCTTTCCTCAGCTTAATAATCTAATCAAGCCTCTCCATAATCGTCTTAAAAAAGACCCTCCTCCCTGGACTGATGTTCATACTGACGTAGTCAAACAGGTCAGACAAAGAGCATATCATTGCATACACTTCAAAACATTGGAATCCAGCACAGCAAAAGTATTCCACTGTCAAAAAAGAAGTTTTAGCAATTGTTTTATGTATTTCAAAATTTCAATCTGATTTATTAAATCAAAAGTTTTTAATCCGTGTTGATTGCAAATCT